GCGATTTTCAAAGTCTGAGCAGTTTAGTTTACCTGTGCTTGTGAATCCAGGAACGTTGATACGTTATAAGGCTCTTTTCCACCACAATATTCACATGCAACATGGCATCGCCATGATTCTGTCATGATCACTTTTCCCCATACCACATTTACAAGTTTCGTTTCCAATCCTATAAACATTCGTATTGTGTGACTTTCCTCATCACAGATTTTTGGGGAAAGTGTTCTTCCAAATTGCTTTCCTGATACACTACATAATTGTTTTACTGTTTCTTTGGTGACTGAGGCCAAATAATCGATTTTCTAATCAAAACTTCCTGTGTTGAATTTCCTATATAGAAACATTTAAATAGGTAGGCTTTCTACCTTATTTCCAGCATTTTCTACATATTAAAAAATCTATGATTCATTGTTTTGATTTATTTTCAAGTTTTTGTTGATAAGACAATAATGAAGAATTGTGTAATTCACTACCTGAATAAGCAAATACATGACAATCGTTCAGTACTTTTCAAGTCGGTGAAGTTATTTTTTGAAATCCATTTTTGAATAATTTGCGCTAGGAAATAAAGGATTTAGCGAGAGGAAAAAAAATTTTTTTTTTGTATCATAAAATTTTGTTTACATATTTCTCTTGATTGGTTCAACCACTAAGTATATTTTCGGCTCTCTTCTGGATCGATTATTTCATTTTAATTAGCTGAGTTGTACTCATTTTATTACCTACTTGCAGCTACCGTTCAGTAATCACGTAGTCATTTATTTCTTTTAGCTTTCCGGCCTTTATTTTCTTATCAATATCACAAACTATTCTACCATATAAGATATATATTTGTAATATCTTTATTCAATATCTGAAATTTATTTACATAGCTCATGTACCGTGCTGATTTTTGTTAAAACAAGTTTCCAGTTAAACTCATTTGTGTATTTTAAAAAAGAAAATCATTTTGTAATTATGATTTTTAAATAATACAGTTTATATACATACTGATGACAGTCAAAGGAATTTATGTTATTCTGCTCAAATCTTTGTTCTTGCTCTTTTCAAAGGAATCATATGTTTGGAAAATGTTTTCTTTCTTTGTTCATGTATCTCGTTTCTAATTATGATTGTACATTAAAATGTGTATTTTAAAACTAAACAATGAAATCACTATTCATTAAATATTGATGAGTTAGTCAATAAATTTAGAATTATTTATGAAAGAATAACGATAGTTTATTACGAAGGTGAATTTAATGGTTATAATATTTAAAGAAATTATTTTATCAATAAGTTATCAAGGATATAATCTTACAAATGTAGATGCTTAGGGGATATAAATGTTTGTATTTTTTGACGGATCAATGAATATATGATGTTAAGGGATTGCGCAATAATAACTAGTTACGTATTTGATAAGTTTTGTTAGATGTAAATACAAGAATAAGATAAAGAGAAAATGTTGGCTCATTTCTAAAAGAATTTTTTGATTAGCTAGATCGACGTAATGAATTAGGATGTTTCAAAAACTTCTACTGAAGACATATAGGTTAGTTTTACTTATATGGATACTTGTGACTTCTTTTAACTGGTAGAAGACACGTTTTGTTCTTCGTTCTCACAGTATTTATTTTAGAATCATTAGTATTTACATTTTCAACGTATCCGTTGAGAATTTTGTATATTATAAGCGAATGGCTGTTCTGCAACCTGTATAAATAATTTAATACTCTTGACTGCTTTTGTCTTATAATGTTTTTGAGGTATCTTAGTTGTTTCAACTAGATTTCCAGCCTACATATTAATAAAATGTTTGCTCTGTGTATCATTCCGGCGCACTATCTCCCCTTTAAACTTGTCATGACTACTGATTCCTGCGATGGCATCGTTTTATTTTAATTTCTAGCTTATATTTATTTATCTGCCCATTTGTTGTCCAATTTCGCTTTTTTCACATTAATTAATTAGTCTTCTTTTCTAATTCACCGTGTTAATCTAATCCTGTTAACTTAATAATAATATAGTTGTTGAACTAAATGACTATGTAGTGGTGTACTCTCTGTTAAGTAGTTGATGGTAAGCAACAGTAGGGTCTGAACGAAGGTTTCGTGCTAGTTATCATTCCTCAACAAGGGGTGTCTGGACCTTGGTCACTCCATTTTGATGTACTGGTAACTCCAGTTTTGAGATTGATCTTTGCTTAACTTAACAAAATCACATACCCAATTAAACTCGATGGCTGGATTTTCTACTGACTGGACTTTGATGTAATCGGATGTCTAAATACATAGTAATTCTTTAAACCTAAATTAATTAGAGTATATCATGCTTTCTTACAGATAGAATCAACAATGAATCTGTTACACTTCTTAATGGTATATAAAAATCCCTGATCTATATTCATTTTAACAGTTAGATATGGTATGTAAGATAGTATTGTTAGGTTAGTGTCTCTTGATTTATTCTGTATGCCCTGCCTCATCGACTGAAGATTTTTCCGTATTTCGCTAGTAGTCGAAGTTATTCTATTCTGTATCGGATGGTGTTGGGATAAACTATATTCTGTTATTCGACCTTATACATGATCCAGTCACATATTAAGAGTGGTTATTGATATGTTGGTGTAAATGTAAACAAATTTCTCATTAGTTATTTTTGTGGCTCGTGTGTACAGATCGTAATAACGATGAGCAATTGTATTGATCTAGTCTGAGTGTTGATTAGTTAGCTTGGATTGTCTATTTACTACCGATGACTTTAGTCTAACCAAGGAGGTTATACTAGTGCGATTACCATCGAGAATAATAATTAATGACCACTGGTGCAGAATGCAGTTCCCAACCTTGTTCGACTGATAACAAGGGATATAAAAAGATTTTGAGTTGGATTCTCAAGAGAGGCATTGATGATGTTTAAATATGATATTCCTATCTCATGTGACAGCATAATAACTTTATACTCACTTGCATTCATTGCTTTGAATAAATTGTTAATGATCACGTGTTGTTATGTCATTTATCTTCTTATTTATAAAGTACACTGTATTAGCCTAAAATATATTTTTTGTGTCTATGTTGCGTATAAATACTATTATTGTATATTTATTTTGAGTTTGCTTATGGCGATTTCCTACCACTGAAATATATCGACTGAAGAAGTCCTGAAAATCCAGTACTGTATAGTAGTTTCGTACTTTTTTCAAGGAAACGAACCACAAACTCATCATTTGAATTAAATTAAAATAATCAGATTATTTTGTTTCTATACTTTCAATAGCGATTTCTGTGTCTGTTATGCTTCGTAGTTATGTATCCTTTCTGCATACTAGTTATAAATGAGTATTGTCAACTCTTCAATGAGTCAAAATTCATCATGTTTAGGTATTTATCTTATTTCAAGATTACAAAGTTATTGATGTATGACTAGTGTGTTTAGGTTAGACATTTCAAAAGAAACATACGAACAAACGTGATTGTGGGATTAGAAACTTGAAAATAGCAAATTGTAAAACCATTTATTTACTGTATGGATTCCTGTGTTTTTGTTTAAAAGTAATCAACATTGTAAGAAAAAGGTGTGGAATTATTGCTCATCAGAATTCCTCACTAAGGGATGTGTAAGTTTTCGCAGACATAGTGGAAGATGGAATTTTCTTCATTGCGAAGTGCCATATTGGTCTAAAGTTCAAATTTGTGTACTTATTGGTGATCTGCATAAATATTCTCGGTTAGTTAACCGTAGTCTGATGAGTAATTTGAAGATATATAATATTGAAAATGTTTTCCATATATAAGTTAACTGTTTTTGTTTATTACCGTATGTATAATGACACTGATAAGGACATGTTATTACGGTGAGAGGTCGTCCGCACCGAGATGTTAAATGAAATTAATCCCAACGTTAGAATATAGTCATTCCTACAATAATTTAGAAATCAACCCTGTTTTACAATGTTATGTTCTACTGTATTAGGAGTTAGTTGGTAGGAATCAGTGCAAAGGAAAACCTGAACCTAGGTTTTGTGAACTTGTCAAAAACTCTTATCTATGATCTCGAAAGAAATGGATTTCTCCTTGCAATTCAAATAAACATAGCAATGCTTCAGTTGGATATTTTACCACCGAGTCAATCGACCTGACCTAATCTCCCGTAAGTATAATCGATGAACACGGTGGATCTGATGCAGATGTGAAGGCACGGATTGGCAAAGCAAGAGCAGCATATTTACAACTGAAGAATATCTGGAACTCAAAACAATTAGCAACCAACACCAAAGTCAGAATTTTCAATACAAATGTCAAGACAGTTCTACTGTATGGGGCGGAAACCTGGAAAACTACGAAATCCATCATCCAAAAGATACAGGTGTTTATTAACAGTTGTCTACGCAAAATACTTCAGATCCGCTGGCCGGACACTATAAGCAACAACCTACTGTGGGAGAGAACAAATCAGATCCCAGTGGAGGAAGAAATCAGGAAGAAGCGCTGGAAGTGGATAGGACACACATTGAGGAAAACACCGAACTGCGTCACAAGACAAGCCCTCATATGGAATCCTCAAGGTCGAAGGAGGAGAGGAAGACCAAAGAATACATTACGCCGGGAAATGGAGATAGATATGAGAAAAATGAACAAGAATTGGATGGAACTAGAAAAGAAGGCCCAGGACAGAGTGGGTTAGAGAATGCTGGTCGGCGGCCTATGCTCCATTGGGAGTAACAGGCGTAAGTAAGTAAGTAATCTCCCGTAAGACTAATGTTCTTTCTACTGAACGTGTTCAAGGTCCAAAACAAAATCTAATCATTAGGATTAGTGGTTACACAACAGCCATAAGAACAAAGACGTAGGCAACATGAAAATTATAGCTTAGTTACCAATGACTGAGAACATTGAAGACATCTGAATTCTAAACAAAATATTGACATTAATATCCAATAACCTTCAAGTGATTATTTAATTATGCAACTAAAATCAAATTGTTCAATAAACATTATATGATTTTCATTTTATTAGATAAATCCAGATCTGCCTAAAGGTCAAGGAGAGAAATTTTTGTTACGTCAAGTTGCTTCTATGTTGAATTTGAATTATGCATCTAAACAACCGAAACGTGCAATGCAATTCGGCAGTCGTGTGGCTAAAGCTGAAGGGTCTAAACGTTTGATTGGATCAGCTGACCAAATAAAGTTCGCACATCAGTCTGAATCACAAAAGTAGTTATTACCGTCTAATAAACTATGTATTATGCAACAAAATTACAACTATCCTTATTTTATTACTCTGATACATAACTACATTATTTTTTAAAAATAAAAATACTACCGTTAATAAAGTTCGATTATTTTCGCATTTCTGGAAATAAAATCAGCAATTATCTATTGATAATTTATTTATTTAAATAAATAGATATTGGCACAAGGAAGCATCAAATATATATGCACCACACTTCGTCATTCGATTTGTGTGAAGGCTGGAACACTGCCCGGGTTCCCAGACCGAAACAGGTGGTTTTCTTAGGGGGCCACATCCTGAGCCTTTGACCTACAAGTCTAACCCAAAAGTCGGAGGAGCAACGTTGGGAGATACAGTCCCATGGCAGTCAGTGACCAACAATAGGCGCATACGCCATTTGTTCCTTCGGGATCCTGAAGCCAATATACACTATTGGTTTAGAATCAGAGTTTTGCAACTCCCTTAGGTGAACCTTCCATGTCCACTAACCCGGTTAGAGATCCGGACATTCATTTTTCGTCTTCTCAATTTCGTAAACAACATCCCCGCGTCGAGAAGACAGTGAATAGGACTTCCTTGGCAGTGGCTCTATTAATAATATCGTTGTTCTTATGCCAAGTAGTGTCAATTAATATTCTGACCATTTCCTTTTCTTTTTACAACAGGATTTTCATTTTTAAACTGTTATCATGAAATAATATTGTTTAAGGTAGGTTCAGTTTGGCCAAAGATGATTGAAAAATAGTAATTGATGGTTGTATTTACCTTTTCGATTTGTACAACTGAAAGCACAATATTTTCTCAATCAGACTTTGAATTATTGTCTATGCAAATGACAACTGACTTCGAATTTTTTTCATCTTAATTTTCCACTTCAATCAAACTAGTTGTGTTAGGTTATTGCGTACCTTTATTGCCGTACTTCGTTCCTGATATTCAATTACTGATTTCCAAGTAATAATTTTGGGACGAAGTTATAAAATGCTTGATTTTCAAACCATTGTTCTAATTGGTTTTCACTTCATCTTAAAGGGATCATACATTTTAGGAGAAAAATGCTTCAGATCCACTGCTACATGGAAAGTGGAGCACATTAATTTTAAACAGTTTTATCATCAGTCTGTATGCTTGATATCCTGCTTCGGTTTGGGCACCCAGACAGTATCACAGCCCTAACACAAATCAAATGAGATTTGTGTGGCGCATATGTATCTGGTACCTCCTTCTACCAGTATTTATGTGTTCAAATAATTAAATAAATATTATGCTTCACAGCATCCTTTTTTTGTGAACTTATATTTTCACTTGTCCACGAGGGATCCTGGTACCTGTGTGGTTACTCCAGAGTATCGTGTTGTACTGTTCATATCATAATGTAAAAAGCTTAAGGGTATCTGGTTCTTCTGAAAATCAATCCAAAGTTGCCCTCTTCCTGGCGATATTTATATATAGTCGTGTGTGACTGTTTTTCACGTTCATTATTCCATTGTTATCGTAAACTGACTTATGCTACAGATTAATAGAAGATTGGAAATGCAACTCGATAATCAGTTGATGATTTGGCTATTATATATATATATATATATATATATATGACCAGTTACCCTGTCCCATCATTTGACGATTTGTAGTCCTCAACAATAACAAGTGTTTCATCCATTTCTATAGTTTAATTTTAGACGTACAAAGTTACTTACTACTTAAACTTATTATCCTTGTTTAGTTAACAGGAATTCTCCTTTCAGAGTTTCAGACAGTATTTAGTTATTTATATGAAATACATTTGATACACATAAATTCCTGTTTATCTGCTTTTTGTCTCCTCCACCCCGCTTTTTTATTTATTTTCTCCCTCAAGGAAAAGTATACCGTAAATGTAACTTATAAATATGTATCATTATTTTCTGATGTTTTGTTTCAAATTTTTATTGAGATTATGGAAAAACAGAAATGAACATACTATTACTCGCTGTTCACTAGAGAAACAATTAGGATACATTGTATATAAAGTAACAAAATAAACAGTGGACAGGGTATTATATCTTTTTCATATTCATTAAATTTTAACGTGCGTGTAGAACTATGGATACTTTATTTTATCAGAACAAAGATGATGCTCATACTGTTACCTCCTTTTATGTATAATAACGTTCCATCAGATACAAAATGATTTTAGTTTTCAGGGCTGTAGGTATAGCCTAGCCTAATAAGTTATGTTTACCCATTATTATTATTTTCTTACCATTGTTATGATTTTTGATTCATCAGGGATTTTTTATGTTACAAACATTATTTGTAAGTTTATTACTAGATCGTATTTCGTTTGTATTTTCATGTAAGGACGAAATGTGAATCATTTTATTTTGTTTCTGTCATCTCTATTGTTATTCTGTTTGTTTACTAGTTATTCTATTGCTACCATTATTATTAGTTACTTTCATAATAATAATTTTCATATACAGATATATGATTAGTACTTAATAAAACATGAATTATTGGTTTACGTCACTTTCGTGACTTGCAAGTCAGTTTATCTAACAGCTATCATACGTACCCATACTAATGATTAGGATTTAAATTTATTTCAGTTAGTTTATATTGTATTCTTAATTGTTAACGACAACGACTACCATGCATTTGTTATTTATTCTCGACAACAGTATTTGATCATTTATGTCCTTAACAACGCATAAACAGTCCATAAAAATGACGCCTTATCATAGTATGCTACCACAATTTGTTAGAGGGCATAGTTGTGCTGATTTATTTGTTTTCAAGAAACTTCTATGTTCTTTGTTTGAATGAAGTTTCTTGTTTGCAAACTAAAAAATATACTTTTATAAAGGCAAAGATATGAAATGAAAACGAATATATGAATTAGTTTATGTTAAAGCTGGGTTATTTTCATGTTTACTGTTAAGGAGTCTGCTGTCATCATTAATATATAATTCTTTGCAATAATCACAAGGATCATACTAATTAGTTAACGAATATCATAAAGTCTAGTCCCTAGTTCTTGTCGAATTCAGTCGACTAGGTTGTTCTGTAACTTGTAGTCTTAATAGGTTGTCACTCTTGAATTGGATAACCTTGTTCTGGATTATCTTATTGTAGTGCTGGCTGACTCCGGTCCGACTTCCTGAAGAATCATTAATTACTTCATATTTTCTAACAGTTCGTAATGACGAGCTGGTTTCTTACGGGTTTTTTTCGAATAACTTATTAAAGCGACATTATTAATATCGACGGTTAGAATGGAATACTGTCATTGAATAATCCGAGTTTTTTACATTTTGCAAATGACATACCTCGTTACTTCCTCTTAATTCATTTTATTTTATTCTATCTTCCGTTTTGTCATATTTCTTTCTATTCTCCCTGTAGTTTGTTGCTATAATTGTCGTTATTATTATAACTAACAGTGAGAATGTTACTGCCAACAATATTTTTTGACTATTTTTACAACCCATAGGGAATAAATTGATATTTTATTTCTGTATATACCATCAGCTCATAGATTGTACGCTGGCTTAGAATAAAGAATGAGACGTCAGCGATTTTCTTAAAAAATACTCAGTGTTTTTCAAAATCATTAAAAATGTAACTGTTGCCTGGTTTTATTATTTATTTATTCGAACACATAAACATTGGTGCAAAGAGGCACCAAATAGATATGTAACATACAATAACAATGAGGTTTCGAGGAGATAGAGAAGTGCGTACAACAAAAGAAAAAAACAACGAACAGAAATTAGTGTATGAGAGCGAAATAATATTAATAATGGGAGGAACAGTTCAGTTAGCAAAAATATAATCAGAAAGAATACTTTGAATTAAAGAAGTTACGTTCATTTTTTATGAGGATAGTTACATCAGAATCGCTACTGGCTTCTATTCTGAGCCATATCTGATAATGTCTCTAGCCACTGTGTTTCACCATCTCTCGGACCCCAGCCAGTGAGTCGTGAAGGACCAACACAAGGCAGTCCTGTACAGCTTTCCTACATATCGCGACACCAAGTCCTACACTGACCGCCTCCCCACTTTTTCCAACAAGTCCCACCGTCGGAAACTAATGCACGTTCAGTGTCCCGAGATCTGACTCCAGTTATATCGTACGATGATTGATTGCTATTGAAATATTCACGTCAGCTATCCTCGTATATAATCGTTGTTGAATAACGGAATTAAATAAGTCAAATACTGAAATGGATGTTTGAGTACGTACATTTTGTACACTCATTTATCTGGGCCACCAAATGCCCTGGTACGATCGAGGGTGGTGAGAATCCGCTCTCCCTCTCCAAATGCTCTCACATGGCCACGTATATACAGTCACTACCAAGTAAGTCCTATTCACTGTCTTCTCGACGCGGGGATGTTGTTTACGAAATTGAGAAGACGAAAAATGAATGTCCGGATCTCTAACCGGGTTAGTGGACATGGAAGGTTCACCTAAGGGAGTTGCAAAACTCTGATTCTAAACCAATAGTGTATATTGGCTTCAGGATCCCGAAGGAACAAATGGCGTATGCGCCTATTGTTGGTCACTGACTGCCATGGGACTGTATCTCCCAACGTTGCTCCTCCGACTTTTGGGTTAGACTTGTAGGTCAAAGGCTCAGGATGTGGCCCCCTAAGAAAACCACCTGTTTCGGTCTGGGAACCCGGGCAGTGTTCCAGCCTTCACACAAATCGAATGACGAAGTGTGGTGCATATATATTTGATGCTTCCTTGTGCCAATATCTATTTATCTAAATAAATATAACATTTAGCTGGACAGACAATCAGAAGGACGAAGCGAATCGAAGTGACGCGCGATGGAGAAGGCGAGTGAGCCAACTCGATTTAATCAAGCGTTAATCGATATTTATAGTCATACTACAATAAGCTAGAGATATATGAGGAGTATGATAAGATGTGCACACACATACGCTCATATAAAAACAATCAGGGTCGATAAGTGAATAATTAACAAGGTCAA